TTTCTATGTTTCTCTGTTTCTCTGTTTCTATGTTTCTATGTTTCTCTGTTTCTCTGTTTCTCTGTTTCTCTGTTTCTATGTTTCTCTGTTTCTCTGTTTCTATGTTTCTCTGTTTCTCTGTTTCTCTGTTTCTCTGTTTCTATGTTTCTCTGTTTCTCTGTTTCTCTGTTTCTCTGTTTCTATGTTTCTCTGTTTCTCTGTTTCTCTGTTTCTCTGTTTCTATGTTTCTATGTTTCTCTGTTATGATGAAAGGATCATTGATTGTCCCTCCGCAGCACAGCAACATGCAGTTGATGTATATTTATGTTACACATGAAACACATGACCAAAGAGAAACAGCAGAGCATTCCTTCAGTGCACTTTCTGAAGCGGGAATTCCTCCAGAAGCATGAAATAGTTTAGATGTGTTCTCCCGGGAGTATGATTGGTCGCAGTGTGACTGCACAGTGGACCCTCTCTCTCTTCCTGCTGAGCGTCTCTGAGCTTTCTTTCTGAGCGCTGAGCACACGCTCCGGCTGACAAACACAACATTATCTTTGGCCCTCCTCTCTCTCTGATCGCTGAACGCTCTGATCTTCGGGATGTTTGCAGTGAAAACATGGCGGCGTGTGAGCGGCTAATCGTCCGCGAGGCTGCAGAGCTGACTTCCAAGTGTCAACATGTTAAACACCCTCAGCACGGGGGGGATTACTGCATTAGAGACACTGATTATGAGCCTAATCATCAGAGAGGGATGGACTTAATGCTTTGGAAAAGTAGGGAAAGGCAGAAGTTTGCACACACTAGCAGATATGTACACAAAGTCATAAAATAAGTCTGCATTGATTTGCATAAAAACATTAACAGCATTCTGAAATAGTGCGTGTGCTAGTTTTAAGACACATTACGGCCCTCCCTGGCAGGCCGGTTAAACCAAACATAATAACATATATTTAAAAAATCAAGTGAAAAAATCTGATTAAAATCTAATCCAAAGACAAATCTTTAAAAAATACAACTCTGAATTTAATCTCAGAATAAAATTTAATAAAATAAAACATGTGACCCCAAGAGAGGGACCCTCTGCTGCTTCTCTCCCTGCGGTTTATAACATTTCCCCTGTGAGTCGTGGGTTTGTTCTGTTTACTGGCAGGGGTTGGGACAGAGGGAGGCATCAGTCAAGTCATCTAAGACTACATTGTGATATCTGAATAGCAGTTGATGTAGAGCTCACGTTGTTCCTTGTTGTCTCCAGGAGAGCCTCTGGACCAGCAGAGGCAGCAGACGGTGGCGGTGGACGACGGCACGGAGCTCTTCACCTACAAGGGGAACGACGTGGAGGCGTACGCGGCCTCCAGCTCGCCCTCCGGCCTCTACCAGCTGGAGCTGCTGAGCACCGAGAAGGACAGCCACTTCAAGGTGTACGCCACCACCACGCCCGAGTCCGACCAGCCCTACCCGCAGCTGCCCTACGACCCGCGGGTCGACGTGACGGCGCTGGGCAGAACCACGGTGACGCTGGCCTGGAAACCCACGCCCACCGGCTTCCTGATGGGCCAGCCGGTGCAATACTGCCTGGTGATCAACAAGGAGCACAACTTCAAGAGCATGTGCGCGGCCGAGGCTAAGATGACGCTGGACGACGGGTTCATGTTGGCGCCCAAACCGGGCCGGGACTTCAGCCCCTTCGACTTCGCCCACTTCGGGTTTGTTCCGTCTGATAATCTGCTGGGAAAGGACCGCGGACTGGTGAGCAACAAAATCTCCTCCAGGAGCTACACGGCCAAGCCCAGAGCCTCCGACATCCAGAAGCTGTGCATCGGCAACAAGAACATCTTCACGGTGTCGCAGCTGAAGCCGGACACGCAGTACTACTTCGACGTGTTCGCCGTGAACTCGGCCACCAACACCAGCACGGCGTACGTCGGCACGTTCGCCCGCACTAAAGAGGAGGCGAAGCAGAAAACCGTGGAGCTGAAGGACGGCAAAGTGACCGACGTCTTCATCAAGAGGAAGGGCAGCAAGTTCCTGCGCTTCGCCCCGGTGTCGTCCCACCAGAGGGTCACCCTGTTCCTGCATGCCTGCCTGGACAGCGTGCAGCTGCAGGTGAGGCGCGACGGCAAGCTGCTGCTGAGCCAGAACGTGGAGGGCGTGCGGCAGTTCCAGCTGCGCGGGAAGCCCAAAGCCAAGTACCTGATCCGCCTGCGGGGCAGCAGGAGGGGCGCCTCCACCCTGAAGCTGCTGGCCTCCACGCGGCCCAGCAGCAAGCAGCCCTTCCCCTCGCTGCCCGAGGACACGCGCATCAAGGCCTTCGACAAGCTGCGCACCTGCTCCTCCGCCACCGTGGCCTGGCTGGGAACGCAAGACCGCAACAAATACTGCATCTACCGCAAGGAGGTGGCCGACAACTACGGAGAGGAGCAGCGGCGCCGCGAGCAGAACCAGTGCGCCGGGCCGGAGAGCCGCAGGAAGGCTGAGAAGGTTCTGTGCAAATACTTCCACAGCCCCAACCTGCAGAAGGCCGTGACCACGGAGACGGTGACGGGGCTGCAGCCGGGGAAGAGCTACCTGCTGGACGTTTACGTGGTGGGACACGGAGGACACTCGGTCCGGTACCAGAGCAAGCTGGTGAAGACAAGGAAGTACTGCTAAAAGACTGCACAGAATAAATCTATTATAAATATATATATGAAATAAGTTTATTTAACTCTAAGTGATATTCTACTAAGGAGTGTATACGGACTACTCGCGGCGCAGCGACTGTATATTTATGTTCCCGGCTGCTCGGAGATCTTCATCCGGTCCGTGACGCTCGCTTTCATATCAAGACTCAGCAGCGCCTTGTATAGATCTCTCATATCCACTATGTGTTAGGAGGAGTTTAAATTATTTTATACTTTTGGTCTCTTTTTGTCTTTATTTTGTATTGATAATAACTGTTCTGAGGATTTCCAGTGGTAGTTCAGACATTCCCCTGTTGCTCATCCTGTAAATGTGTTCTGTGCTGGAGATGTGTGTGTTATTATCACTGTATCGCTGTGTGTGTGTACAGAGTTGTCCTGCCAATATTCATGTACATAAACACTAAATATAGACCCAGTGATCCCTCTGTCCCTCGCGGTGTCATGTTCTTGTCCCGAGCCGTTACCACGAGTCTGAATCAGGGCTTCTTCAGCTCTCCTTCATGCTGGAAGTGACCCCAGCAGAGGATGGACTGTTTGCTGGGGATGAAACCCTGTGGTTGTCGAGCCCTGCTGACCCTCAGATATCAAACCAGGGTCTCATTGACGTTAATAATGATTCATAAATCACTGCATCTCAGATCAATCATGAGTGCATTTCTTTGTCTGGAGGAATACTCACATGTTGGACGATAGAGTCATCAACGTGTATTTTAGGGGTTCAGATCAGATGGTTTTATAAAAGCTTTCACACGTTTGATGCTGCTCTACTCTGAAGTTATGAAATGCTCACTTTCCTCCAGGTTTTAGGACTCATTCCTGCACCTCGGTCCTACAGCAGTTTATAGAAGCTGCTGTTTTTAATCTCACCAGTTCTTTCTAGTTGCACCAATTTCAAGTCACGAATACTCAAAATGCTTTTCAGGTTTCAAGATTCAAGTCTCTATCGCCATGAGCTCAGCAGCTTCAGAGGAAGTCTGTAAGTCTGGAGTCCTCCTCCAGCAGAGCAACATGAAACAGAGAGAACAGATCAAATAGTGCAAGAGAATGTTTTGAGATGTGCAAGAAAATAGAAATAGAAATAGTGCAAGAAGAGTCTGTATTCAAGTAAATGAAATATGATATATAAATAAATTACATGACATTGCATTTAGCTGACGCTTTTATCCAAAGCGACTTACAATAAGTGCATAACAAGAAACAAACAGATGAATGTTATGGAGGGTTTATATTTACGTCGGAAACGACCATAAGAGGGTTAGCCTATGTGTGGTCCTCTCAAACTCTCAAATCTCTTAAGATATGAGAAATGTTTTAATGTGGGCCAACTTTAAATAGATATTGCTAATCCTAAACATATCTCAAGTTAGCCGCCATTAGCTGCCATTAGCTGCCATTAGCTGCTACTGGCTAATGCTCACAACAGACCAGTAGAGACGGCTGGTACCCGGTGTAGGAGCTGCTTTAAAGCTCTACATTAAAGCTTTCTTTTGGGAGAAATGGAACTCAAAGAAAAACACTGTGGGCAAAACACAATAACAAACTATATTAGTTTTACTCAAATTTTAAGAAAACAGGCCGAGCTGTTCATAGAAATCAAATTACAGTCAGGAAGACATTGTAAGAAATAGCTGTTATGGCCCAAATGTTTTGTTGTTTCAGAAGTTAACTACACAAAATGATAGAAAATGTATTCAACTTCTTTTAGTTTAACTATTAAAATATGTATAAACTACCAGCAGGCAAGTTGTAAATGTAGTTAACCCTTTAACACCGGATACCTGAGGGTAGTATCAAAGCTTTGCTAATAATTCAACGTTTTATTTGAGATATTTCTAAAAGTGGACACAGTTTGCTGCTACGATATGATAGCATGTGGGAGATACACATTTAAATAAACAAAGAGAAAGATGAGTTATAAAGTCGGTAAGTTCAGTCTGTTCACAAATATCTATATTAAGTTCGGCTAACGTCAGCTGTTCTTAACGGACCAATAAAGACTGACGTTAGCGGAGACACTTTTAAAAGCTCCACAGTAAAGCTTCCTGAGAGAGAAATCTACCTACGCTATATCATGTGAAATATCACAACATTGAGATTATTTCAAAAGGAAAAACAGAAAGGAGACAGAGCCGGTCCAAGAAGTTCAGTTACAGTCCAGAAGAAATTGTAAAATCATCCCTTTGCTTTTATAATAATATGAATAATAATAAAACATGGGATTTTCATAGCGCTTTTCCTAATGCTCAAAGACATAAAACCAGAACAGAAACAAAACAAAGAAACATATAAACAGTAGTCCTAATGCAAGTGTGGAGTAAAATGGGGGGGTTGTTGATCGGAGTTTGAAAGCTAGAGTGAATAAGTTATTTTGAGAGATATAGCCTAGCATGTGTTGTTGTTTCAGTAGTCAGCTAAACACAAAGGGCAAAAACTACTTGAATCACTTTTAATATGTGTATGAGCTACGGTTCAAAATGTAGTTCAACTACTCCCAATACTGAATTCCTGAGCAACGTTTTGCTCAGTTATTCAACTTCTATTAAGAGGTCACATTAATTATTTCATTTGTAAGTCCAAAAGGGGTCAAAATAAGTCAGTTAACCCAAGAGAGAAACCCAGAGTCTGGTTCTGGTTCTGGGTTATGGTTCCCACCTTAGTCAAAAGCCAGGTTTTTTTAAATAAACCCAATCAATGAAAACCCATTTCCGCGCCTGATTTTTGGCTCATTTTTTAAATTACAGCTTCCCAGGTGACACTGAACAGGCCTCAGCAATCTCTGTTCACCCATACGTTACATAAGTGCACACGCTCAGAGGACCAGGCTCCAGAGAGGGAGAACTGGGGGACTCGAGACACCATTCAACCATTAACCACAAACAAGCAGAGAGGAAAGCCACACATTCTCACGTCCTGATTACAGCCGTCTGCTGTGACCGTGTTTCATCCAGAGACCGTGTTTCATTCAGAGACCGTGTTTCATCCAGAGACCGTGTTTCATTCAGAGACCGTGTTTCATCAGAGACCGTGTTTCATCCAGAGACCGTGTTTCATCCAGAGACCATGTTTCATTCAGAGACCATGTTTCATCCAGAGACCGTGTTTCATCCAGAGACCATGTTTCATCCAGAGACCATGTTTCATCCAGAGACCGTGTTTCATTCAGAGACCGTGTTTCATCCAGAGACCGTGTTTCATCCAGAGACCGTGTTTCATCCAGAGACCGTGTTTCATTCAGAGACCGTGTTTCATCCAGAGACCGTGTTTCATCCAGAGACCGTGTTTCATTCAGAGACCGTGTTTCATCCAGAGACCATGTTTCATCCAGAGACCGTGTTTCATCTAGAGACCGTGTTTCATCCAGAGACCGTGTTTCATCCAGAGACCGTGTTTCATCCAGAGACCATGTTTCATCCAGAGACCGTGTTTCATCTAGAGACCGTGTTTCATCTAGAGACCATGTTTCATCTAGAGACCGTGTTTCATCTAGAGACCGTGTTTCATCCAGAGACCGTGTTTCATTCAGAGACCGTGTTTCATCCAGAGACCATGTTTCATCCAGA